AATTTTCTGGTATATACTATCCTACTATTACACAAATATTATGGTATGTTTGTGGAATTTCTGTTGTATTTGGTAAGTATAAAAAAATCCAACTTATGCACCAGCCATTAAAGAAATAATTTTAAAATTTAAAAAGTATTTTTTCCCTATTCCCGAAGTTTATTTAATTTCTACACTATTTAACCCATCTTTAAAACTAAGAGGTGCAAAGGGTCTTGTTCGTAAAATTTATGAGAATTTAGAAATTCAAGAACATGAAGAACCATCTCTCGAAAATTGCCAAGCTAGCATATATTTTTATGATAGATCAATGTTTGATAAATATAAATCTATGGATACAACTAGTACTGTAACTGATGCTTCTACTTCTAAGTCTGGAGCAGAAGTTTTATGGGAAGATATGGATGATATAACAGGTTTTGATTCCTCTATTGATGATGAACTTGATTCTTATCTTAATCAAGGATTGAAAAATATTAAAGACGAAGAAGGCAAGGAACAACTTTTGTCATGGTGGAGGGAGCGTGGCAAGGCTTTTCCAACACTTTCAATTATGGCCCGAGATATCCTGGCTATTCAAGCATCATCAGTAGCATCGGAGAGCGCTTTTAGCGCGGCAAGATTTCAAATTGGAGATCATAGACATTCATTAGCGGAGGACAGTCTAGAGATTTCCGTCTTATTCAGAGATTGGATTAATTCAGAAAGAAGAAATTTTGGTTTTGAAAAACTAACCACTAGGGAGGAAGAAGAATACAATGAGATACTTACCACTGGGAGCGATGACGGCATGGAGCTCATGGAACATCAATCAACATTGCCAATTCCAGTAGAATGTCCAAGAGATATTATTGATAAGTTACAAAGAAGTTATATAGGAGCTTACAAATATTAGTATGATAATTTGTAATTGGCTACTAAGAGACCTAGTTCAAACAGAACCCTTCCTAGAAGGTGGCTGCGTAGATTAGGTGCTCTTCAAAAGAATTGTATTTGTATTTGAGATTTGAAAGTTCTATTAATAAAATATATGGCTCTAAGAGATGAATTATTTTTATGATTTGTCGGTGTTACTTAATAGTTAATACTTTGAAATTATATTAAATAAATTATAACTCTATTATAAATTTATATTTACTAGATTATTTCATTACAAGTCTTTTGTTTTAATATTTTATAATTCTTTACTTAGTTTTCTAATTTTCTTTTTAACATACTAACATAGTAATATTTAAGTTTATTAAATAAGTCAAAAATCTAGCCGTTGCAAACTTTAAAAACATAGTAATTTTCAAAAAACTAGAATTTTTTTTTTTTAAAAAATACACTTAAGGCCCACGAACCCGTCCCGTCCCGTCCCGTCCCGTTTGGTTGGCGGGACGGGACGGGACGACCGTTTCGTCCCGTTTGTCCCGTCCCGTTTCGTCCCGTCTCGCCACCGTCCCGCCTAAATCTCGTCCCGTCCCGTCCCGTCCCGTTAAAAACGTCCCGTCCCGTCCCGTTAAAATCGTCCCGTCCCGTTGGACACCCATAGTCTTGACCAATGCCAAGTAGCTTATTATTAGGCTGATACCTGACTTAATGTGGATATATTTTGAATTAATTTTAAAAAATAAACTAAAATACGTAATATTACTGATAAATTTACATAATTAAAAATTGACACTACATAATAAAATTGAAAATTAATTTTTCTTAAGAGTAACAAAATATATATCTTCCATATTATATTAAAAAGAGAGCAATATTCAAAAATATTAAACAAAATAATACGCTAATACAAATTTATATTAACAATGTAATAACACTGAACATTGGATAATATAATAAAAAATACAGAACAAAAAAGTTATTTTCATAACTATATAAGTCTCCTTTTTTAATTTGATAAATATTGTTTTATTGAGTATATTGTATTGACAAATGAGATGACAATTGAAATTTATTAAAACAATACGATCTAATATGTTCAAACAATCTCGATCATAATCTAATTTATTTAATAATTTTTAATATTGGCCGTGCAGTATTTCCTAGAAAGTTGGTGCACAAAACATTTTCAGAGAATTGACAGTGGCATAGGCTGAAAGAAGGCAAAATATCTTAACACCCCCCTAAACTTGACACGGATTATTAGTTACAACCTTAAAAAATTTGTGGTCTTAATTACCCACTCAACTTGGCCTTTTGAGAGCCATCACTCCCTGGACGCTGATGTGGCAAAGAGTGTGGGTGCACTCCCCTGCCACATGGATTTTTCTGTATGTGGCCTTTTTTTTAAAATAAAATATACTTTTATCTTTTTAAGTATGTCACTTTTTTAGATAATTTTTTTCGGATACAATTTATAATAAAACTTGGATAGAACTATATTATTTAGGCTAAATTTTTGAATTTGAACTTTATTATTTTTAGCCAAATAAAAAAATTTCATCTAAATAATGTAGTTTTATTATAAATTGTATTCGAAATAAATTATCTAAAAAAGTAACATACTTAAAAAGATAAAAATATATATATATTTTTAGAAAAAATGCCACATATACAAAAAAATCCACGTGGCAGGCGAGTGCATTCACACTCTTTGTCACATCAGCGTTTAAGGGTAATGGCTCTCAAAAGGCCAAATTGAAGAAGTAATTAAGACCACGAATAGTTTAATGTTGTAACTAATAATTCGTGTCAAGTTTAGAGGGTGTTAAAGGTATTTTGCCGCTGAAAGAAAGAAAGAAACTACTCCTCTTTAGTACAGTTGTTCGAAAAGCAAGCGATAGGATCTATGCAGCAACAACCAACTAAAACCCAACCCGAAAAAAGGCCTATAAGAAGGGACAACTCTTCTCCGCTCCTGTTACTATTCCTCTTCGTTCTCACTCACTATCCGGCACACTCTTCGTGCTCTCCGCTACTTTCTCCAAATCCTTTCTCTATTTTTCTCTTGCTCTCTCTTTCTTTCCGTCCATCAAATGGCTTCTATTACAGGTTCATCTGTTACCATGTCATGCTCCTTGAAGCAAAATCAGGTTTATCACTTTGATCTTCACTTCCGATCAGCTTTTCCTTCTCTTGTTTGTTGCAATGTTTTTCTAGATTTTGTTTTCGGAATTCTTTTTGTGGGTCTATCTGACTTTAAATATTTGGAGTGGAGTTTATCTGAATGTGATTGCATTTTAATGATTTTTGTGAATGAAATAATGTTAATTTTACAGCTTTCTAATTCCTTTATGTGTATATTAAACTCTAGAATATATTTTCATTCTTCTTTATTTTTTTGTGTGTTTCAGAGTTTCTTGTCCTATTATTTCTCTCATGATTTAATTCTATGATTGATCAAAGGATTAGAAACCAAATTTCTCATGTAATTTTATTAGGGCAAGTAATCAATGAAACACAAGGAAAAACGTATAATTCTTGGTATTTTTTAGGTAAATATTTCACCTTTTTCTATAGAAATAATTAGGAGTAACATTTTATGAAGCTTCGAGAAGTAAGTTGAGAAATAGCTACCCACTCCCCATTGGTGTGTGTCATTGTAATGACTATACATTTTGTTCTCTTGTTAATGCAGGCACTTAACCGAGTTTCCAATTTGAAGATGTCTTCTCTTTCATTCAAGGGGATAAGCTTCTCTTCCATCAGATTGAATCCAGCCACTCGCCGCCTCACTATTACTTGCGCGGTAGTACGTTCTTGGAACTGGGTGTTTTGCTATGTTTTTGCTTTACCTCTATCCATGATTGTTGGGACTCATTGCAATATGGCCTGTTTTGTTGCGAGCAAAACTGATGCCGGATTTTATTTTTAGCACCGATGATTAGAGCGTTTAATATGGGAATTTGGTGTTAAGTTATCTTAAGTTGATTTATGGAGATCACTAAATCGACAGTGAAGAGCAATAATAAATATATAGAATAAACTGAATTAAAATAAAGTGGATACTACCTGGCATAACATCTTCTCATGGAAGATTTCCTTAATCCTGGTAGTATCTTAGCTGTGACTTGTTTTGCTTGTGGATTTCTGACTCTTCTACCGATAAAGGCACAAAAAAGAAGAACAATTATGGAGATCTTTCCTGAAGTTTTGTCCCCTCAAGCTCCCCTATTCTGAGTTTGTTGTGACAAACCATATTTCATTCAGGAACTAATTGACATTGTTAAATAATTATATTTCTTATAAAATAATGGACAGAAACTCCTTCAAAAAGGTAAGCAAACTGACCATCCCCTCCTTCATCCTTACGTGCGACCACCTTTTTGCGACCTTGTTGCCACTCCCCACTTTTCCCTTGGTACTCTACTGAATTTCGAACAGAAACCTAAGGAAAGCAATATAAGGAACAAATGTAAATTGACAGAAGGATATTGCTTGCTGCCAAAAGGGAGTCTTCTTCTAGCGATGTAGGGAAGAAAGGCTTTGTAACAAAAAATTATCAAGACTTTTTTTTAATTTCAAATCTCTCTCGGGGGAATTAAGTGCAATTGACTAATCCATTGCCAAAGAAAAAAAGTAGGAATTCTGCTTATTAACTTGCTCTACTTCTGACTTCACTGATCTAAAGCGTTTGTGCACATGTATATTCACGTCTCTTAAACAAGCTATTTCCATCAGTACTGACACTATAGTTATTGTGAGTGTTCATGGGATTAACCTCTTTACCTTAAATTATCTTTTTTTTCTTATTTCACTGTTCTATCTGTGATGTGGAATTTCGTGGCCAGTAATTCAGCACACAGCATGTTTTTCTTTTTCATATGAAATTTATTAACAACAATGAGAGTTGTGCCTCTGCAGGCTAAGCCAGAGACGGTCAACAAGGTGTGTGAGATTGTGAAGAAACAACTGGCTCTTTCTGCTGAAACTGAAGTCAGTGGAGAGTCAAAGTTTGCTGCGCTTGGTGCTGATTCTCTTGATACGGTATGTTGTTTGGTACTAAGGCAAAATGTTGCACTTGCATAGTTGTGTGTCTCACTCCTTTCTGCAAAATAGTTAGAACAATTAACGTATTTCAGTTTGGGTTTCAGCCAAGTTACTTAGAATTCTTAGTTGATGCCAGTTTGTCTAATATAACACTTTTGTCATCCTGTATGTTGTAGATTGATTACAGAGGATAAAAAGTATAGTTTTTTGAAAGGTTCGTAAATGAAAACCACCAACTTTGCTGCTAGGTGCTAGATGTATATCCTTGTGCTTCCAGATGATATGGTTTCACACACTTTCTATGTCTAGGAAACAAGTAGAGCCATATTTAAAAACTGTTCCTGGAGTTCTCAAACAAAAGGATTATCCTGAAGATCCCTAATGAGGTGGACCTTAACTGGGCATATTGGTTTGGCTATGATAGTTATCACGAGGCATGTGGATAGTACCAATCTCATATGGACTTATCACCCAAAAATTTTAAAAATATCCCAAGGGATAGCACTAGCAGCAGTAATGTTCTCTTGTTGCTCTACAAAGCCTCAATTGCACTTTCCTGAGGCATCTTGAAATAACAGACTTCTTCTCAGGAACACATTCGTTATTACTGATTTGATTATGTTGTTTTTGTTGAATCTCTTATTCAGGTGGAGATAGTCATGGGACTTGAGGAAGAGTTTGGCATTTCCGTAGAAGAAGACAGTGCTCAGAGTATTGCAACAGTTCAAGATGCTGCAGACCTGATTGAGGATCTCATTTCAAAGAAAGCTTGAGACGAACTGAACTTAGAGCCTCAGCTAGTTGCATTCACTAGGGTATCTCATTTTGGTTATTTCTTTACAATTCAAGATGCTGCAGTTTGCAATATTGAACTGTCTCTAGTTAAAAGACTATTTTATCAGAGAGGAACCTTCGTGGACAATCTTATATGTTTTCCGTTGGACCCTGCAATACTAGTTATACTATTTATCACATCAAGTTTGTTCTTGAGAATTGACCTCCATGGTGAACAAGATAAGCCTTTAATGTCCAAGGAAACTCAAAGCTTCATTTTTTTCCCTGAGTTTTTTGCTACTTGGGTGTTCAACACCGCTGTGTAGAACATGCAAAATACGCCTCCTTGATTAGCAGCTGTATTCATTCTTTAATTTTAGAAACAGCATGAAACAGCAATTCCTTTACCAGATTGTTTTCTTAGGATACTTCTAAAGTGGCAGCATCGGTTTTCGTTTTCTTTTTAAAACACTTTTGACCCTACCTATAAGTACTTCACTTAGCCTTTCTATAGTCTTTCTTCCCCTCTTCCCTCAAAGCGCGCTCTTTCATGCATGCGCATGGTTCTTTTACTTTCATTTCCTGCCTCTTCACGTAGGAGCGCATCTTGTTTTCAAAGATGAGTTGTAGATGAGTCGGTTCGATCACCCCACATATCGACGATTTTTTAATGCCTTATCCTAGGCCCACTACTAGAAATCCGGAAAAAAACGACCACAAAAAGCGACCAGTGTTGGTCGCTTATTGGCCAAAAAGCGACCAAACGTGCCTGGTCGATATTAAGCTGGTCTCTTTACTTTAAGGACCAAAGTTGGTCGCTTTGGTCTCTCAAGTCAAAGGACCAAATATTCCGGTAAAGACACTGGCGACCAACTTTGGTCGCTATATTATTTTAATATTATAAATTTTGCGACCAAAGTTGGTCTCCTTTTTGTAAATTTCGTTTATTATTTATTTATTAATTATGAAGTAGCGACTAACTTTGGTCTGTATATGAAATATTATATTTTAAAATCTGAAAAATGGCGACCAATGTTGGTTGCTATACTATAAATTTTTTAATTATTTTTTTAAATAAGCGACCAAACTTGGTCGCTAAATACATGAATTAATTTTTTTATTTATTAATAAGCGACCAACTCTGGTCGCCATATTTCCAGAAATTGTTATTTTTCTGGTAAATAGCGACCAATCTTGGTCGCTACTTGGGGAATCTGGGTTAAATAGCGACCAACCTTGGTCACTATTTCACAGAAAATTATTTTTTTTAATAGAAATGCGACCAAATAGCGACCAAAGTTGGTCGCTTTTCTTGGTATATTGCTGGCAGGAACTACCTCTTTTGGCAGCTACACCACCTGCCAGCTTACCAAAATCCTAAATAGGCAAATATGCCAACAACAGCAACAACAAGCAACAACAACAACAACAACAATTATAACGAACAAAGTATAAAGTTCAATAGAACTTTATACTTTAAGCTAATTAGCAAACTAATAAGTTAAATGTTATTACAGAACCATTCGAAAACCAATTGTATTTGTCTAGCATAAACTTATAAGTTCAAAGATTGTTCTCTACATCATTATCATCACCGTCTGATGAACTTTCTTCACCATGACGGTATCTAGAATGGGCTATTTGTCGATGATGGGAAGAATGACCACGGGGAGGACGGGGGGAATGAGCACGGGGAAGGCGAGCCTCTGGCGATGACTCACGAGACCGGGGAATTGGAAAATTGCCAGAAGCTAGGAGAGTTTTGATCTGCTCTTGCATGCCCTTGCACTGAGCTTGCATGCCAGAGTACTGCATATCTCTAAGCCTTTCTCTTTCCTTGGCGGCTTCTAGCTCGGATGTGAGCTTTGCCACAGTCTCCCGCATAGAGGAGAGGCTCTCCCCATCAAGTTGCTCGGCTTGGGAGGAAGTCCCTATTCCTTGCATTCCACACTTATAGCGATGGAATTTCATATTAGGAAGCTCGTATACCTTCCCCCCTTTTGGACGCCAGCAGCCTGCGTCCACATTCTCTCAGCATCCTCGTCCGATAGTTGGATTGGCGCGCCGGACTCATTAGGTGGCTGACTGCATATGAATTGCTCCACTTCAGCTGTGAAGCGACCCTATAAGAAAAATTACATTGAATTAGTATTTCAAAATTTATATAAAAGTAAATCAAAATTCTTAATGAAAAGTGAAAACTTACATGTGCAGCCGAGGCTCGGCCCTCGACCCACCTTTCTTGGTCCGTCTCTTTCTTCTTCTTCACAATATGAGTCTCCTTGAAGAGATCATCTTGGTTCATCGGACGTCCCAACTTTTTTTCCTGAAAACTCATATATTTTAGTTAATAAACAGAATACATATACTAAGAAAATTAAAGTAAATTAAGCAATTACGTACCATTCTTCGTTTTATCGTCCCTAGGCTGACCGCACCTCCAGTGTGTAAGGATCCTCCCTTCTCTGATGCCCGGGCTTTCTTTCCTTTTTCGCTCTTCTCTAAGAACTCTGCTGTAAGCCATTGCCTTTGCGAATCATCCCATAAATCCTGAAGCATCCAGCCAGGCTTCTGGTTCAACTGCCTAGCTTTGGAGAAACAATAGGACAACCGCTTTCGAGCTTTGAGATGGAAGATTGCAGCCACTTTCGCGCTATAGCGGTGTTCCCATACACACTTGCTCTGTATTTCAAAAGTCAAGTATTATATGGAAATATCATATTTAGATGAAAATATCATAAAAGCTATATTCGATATATTATACTTAGCTTTTATTAGCTAATAATTATTCAAAAGTTAAGTGCATTAACTGCTTATAATATAATATTAGCTAAAAGCTAATAAATGATTATACTGCTTAAAAGAATATTTATACCTTAAATTGATTGAAGATTGCCTCCTTGAGAGCGAATGGGAATTCACTCCAAGTCGCATAAGGACCATCATAAAGCTTTCTGGTGGCTTTGGTGATGATCCTTGTAGTAACATTACTAGGGATGAACCTGCAATTTTATTTAAAAAAAATACATTAATATCTTAGTAAAACTGTACTAAACAAAAAAAGTTAAAATAACTTTCTTTGGGCTTGAACACCTTACCATTGTTTGTTGTCTGCAAGTATAATTCAGGCCGCCTGCAATATTCTTGTAAGTCCATTCTAGCCTTCGCATTATCCTTTGTCTTACCTTTAACATCCATCACCGTGTTGAACAAATTGTCAAAATAGTTCTTCTCAATATGAATGACATCAAGGTTGTGACGGAGAAGATTATCCTTCCAATAGGGCAACTCCCAAAATATACTCTGTTTCGTCAAATTATGGGTAACACCGTATCCGGGGAATCTATAAGGTGGGACTTCAGTAACTTTACTGAAGTTCTGGACCCTCTCCCAAATTTCCTCACCTAAAAGTATCAGAGGTGGGAAATCACATTCGAATTTATTCCTTTTGTATGCATTTTTCATCCTTCTAAACTCATGATCAGGAGGCAAGAATTGACGATGACAATCAAACCATGATTACTTTCGGCCATATTTCAAAGTGAACGCTTTACTATTTTCCATGCAGTAAGGACAAGCTAGCTTACCAGCAGTCATCCACCCAGACAACATTCCATACGCAGGAAAATCATTAATTGTCCACATTAAATTAGCACGAAAAATGAAATTCTGCTTGGTTGATATGTCATATGTTTCAACACCATTGTACCACAATTGTTTTAGCTCATCAATCAAAGGTTGCAAATATACATCAATCAAACTTTTCGGATTACGTGGACCGGGGATAATACAATTTAAGAATATGTATGGACTAGTCATGCACAACTCGGGTGGTAGATTATAAGGTGTAAGAAAGACAGGCCAACATGAATATGGTGTGGCAGATACAGAAAAAGGCGTGAAGCCATCCGCACACAGACCTAATCGAACATTCCTTGGTTCACTAGCAAAATCTGGATATGTCCTATCAAAGTGCTTCCAAGCTTCTCCATCTGAAGGATGACACATAACACCAGGTGGTCTTCTATTTTCAATGTGTCATCTCATATGAGGAGCAGAACTCATCGACGCATATAACCTCTTTAACCTAGGTATAAGAGGTAAATAATGCATCGACTTGATAGCGACCATATTCCCACTGGAAAGCCTCTTGAAACGAGGCTTTCCGCAAAATTTACAACTGTCCAAACCTGCATCATCTTTATAATATAACATGCAACCATCTTCACAACAATCAATTCTCAATGACGAAAGTCCTAACTTAGAAACTAATCTCTTTGCCTTGTAGAAATCACTAGGTAATTCGATATCAGGGCCAACTAGTTCACGCATAAGGTCAATGAAGGAGTCCATGGCTCCTTGAGAAATATTCCAATCAGATTTCATACTTAGTAATCTAACTGCAACAGACAACTCAGAGTGCGAACTTCCGTTACGTAGTGGACGACTAGCTTCCTCTAAAGCTTCATAAAAACGTTTTGCGTCATCATTAGGAGTTTGTTCAACATTTTCGTTGGACTCAAACCCAAAGTGTATCCCAAAAGCATCCGCAACCATATCATGAATTCTAGAATCACGATTTGTATTCTCCACTGACCTACTACTTTCACCCTACACCCAATCGTTATGAAATATCCTATGGCTACCATCGATCTCTCCATGACAAGTCCACACAAAGTAATTCTCTATAAACCCCTTACTATAAAGATGAACCTTAACTTCCTCCGGTTTTTCAAACTTCATACAGTCGCACCTAACACAAGGGCACCTAATTACTCCTTCATTTATGTAATGCGGAAGTGATACGTGTCTAATAAATTCACCAACCCCTTCTACAAAATACTCCCGCAATCCCCGCCGAATAGGATAATTTCTATTGTACATCCAAGTACGATGTTCCATCTATATAAATAAAGCAAGAACAAATTAATTTAGATATAATGTATTCTTATTTAGGACAATGTATTTACAAGTACTCTTATTTAGGTATTG